GGCTTCTCTGCTGGACCAAGGCCTGGGTCCTGGGTGCAGGAGGAAAACTGGTGCCGGCAGCCAGGGGAAGGAAGGCCTATTGCGTGAATCTTTGTGCAATGGGCTTCTAGTATTTGTATAAGACATATAAATAGATATAATAAATTTCTTTTATTTCTTAGCTGACGAATGATTTCATATACACTAAACAAATGATGATGTTTTAAACTATGAAATATTGAGGTTCTTGGGCAATAGCTAATGATACAGTCATGCTAGTGGTTTGGCACACTTTATAGGTGTGATTCAGTCCAACTGTAGCCTGAAGTCTACTGGCTTTGATTCTTTTTACCCTTTATCTTTTATATTGCTAAACTTTCCTTCTCCCTGGCGTAGAAATAATGTTTATTATTCCAGTGCATCTCTTTCAAATTTTCATGCCCCAAGAGTCCATTGTATTGGCAATTATATGTTTTAGTGACAGCAGTCCCATGAGTTCTGGACATTCTCCCAGACAATAGCACAAAGAAAAGTTATTAAGCTAAGATCAACTACAGCGTTACTAAGGAACACTAGTGCAATTTGCAACAAAGTAAAATGGAAATGCAAATTTCATAATATTCATGACCTTTTGGAGGAGGTCTATAAACATACTGAAATGGGGAAAAGCAAAAAAAAAAAACACACACAAAAAAAACCAGACAATAGATGTGCTATTTCTGAGACCCTGGTTATCTAAAAGCTCACAGGCAAATTTTAAATGAAAATTACCTAAGATAATGTTATTTGCATTTCCTACTGACTTTGTTAACATTTTGAAAACAGTGCCTCATCTAATCTAAGCTCCTGTGAGGTGAAAGAACTTGATTTTTCTTCCAAAGTACCAATGGATAAATCAATGATACTTATGAATACAGGCTTAATTTAATAGCGTGTTTTGTTTTACCTGTGAAGGAAGTGTACAATGGAAAGCAAAGGTCAATGCTTTCACAAAGCACCTACATTTATTCCTATTCTTTGTATTCAATAAACCTCAATTAACACTGTGCTGTACCTGTCAACGCCAGCCAAACTGAAAATCATGCTGTGTAAGGCTATAAAAAAAAAAAGTAAATAAAAATATATCATTTCATTAGTGAGGTATTAACTTTCCCAGAAATTAAAACTTTACCACTGATCTAACTGGTTTTAAACTACTAGTGAAAGTTTATAGAATCATGTTATGAAATTCAACTATTGCCTTACTTTCATATATTTTCAAGAAATAAATTCTAAGTTAATTTATACTTTATGTATTTCAAAATAAATGCTTAAGATGCAGTGTCCTGATTTTGTTTCAGTTATGGATTAATCCTTGGCATCTTTTGATACAAATAGGAAGATATATATTTGTATAAACTGAGTCCTTATTATGGTTTTCTTAAATTCAGGACAAAAATATGTAACAGATACCAAATGTGTAAAATTATTTTTTATATGAAATTCTGTTTTAATTAGAAATATATTTCAGATACTTGAATGGTACCATTGACATTATTACTTTTAATTGGTTCTTTACATTTATGCCAAGACTCCTACCTAATTTAGCTAGAAAAGAACACTGAGTGTAAAAACATGTACAATTAAATATCATTCAATTGATTAAATACCAAGTGCTATTATTTTTAGTGCTGCATCCCCATTGCATGGAGATATTGAGAGAGAGTCATCAATGCTGAAACATTGTCAGCATGTTGAATGCTTAATAACAGTGAAAAGATGTCAAGAATCACACTAATAATATGTTCAAGACAAGAACCTTGGTAGAGAAAATATAAACAAGTATTGTTTTTGTAATTATGATGCCTCTAAATGCACTAGTAAATACCTTTGGTAATTCTGATGCCTCTAAATGTAAATACCTTTACATGTAAAAAAATAGTATGATAGGATTTATCAGAGGATCCTCAATGCAGCAATTACGAAATAGTCATCCACAGATTGCTTGCATAGTAAAATGTTATCTCTTAAGGGAAGCATTTCCCAATTTTGTTGACTAAGGGTCTTCCAGTTAAACATTCCAATAGCACCTTATAAGTCTCCTTCCCAGCTGTTGTCACACTGTAGTTGAATAGTTCATTGCATAATTACTTATGTAGTGTGTGTCTCTGCTCATTAGAGGAAGAGCTTGTGATCAGGGACCACCTCTGCCTGCTGTGTCCCTTTGAGCTAGTACAGTGCATGGCATAGAGGGGGTGAACAAATGAAGAGATGAATGAAATAGGCACATACGTTCACACAGCATTATTGATTTCTTGCCTTTATTCAAAATGCATTCCACTTGTTTTTATGCTGTCTACATACCAACGTAGGCATTACGTTTGTAAATAACCCTGCCACATTCTTTAAAATGTCTACCTACTAGCCTTCCTTCAGGTTTTTTCTTAGGGATTTGTTTTCCTCTCTCTTCCTGAGTATGTTAATTTTTTAGTAGAGTCTTGGACTACCTTGAGAAGTTTGGTTGTTTTCCCCCATTTTATTTTATTTTTCTACCTCCTGCTCTATGAAAAACCATAAGTTTTATTTTACATTCATTTTTTCCATTTCAATCAATAGCTGCACTTACACTCCTTTTAAGCTCTTCAGTTTTTTGTAAAACAGCTCTAATTATTTCTCTCTCTGACTAGAAGGTATACATATAAAGCAAACCATAAGAAAAAAACACTAACTGTAACTACAAAAGGTTTTAGATTTCTCGAGCAAATATAGCACAGTAAATAGTACAGCAAGACTGGTGTGTATGGTCAGTCCTAAAACTTTGTAAATGGGATATGGATAAGATGACTGACCTTCACAAAACGGGTCCATTAGGCTGCTCCCCAAACCTCCCTGTAGTGTCCTTGGTTAAGGTGCTTTCCTTATTAGAGTATCCTGACTCTAAATTTTTGCCGCCTCAAATCCTAAATACTATTTAAGAGGCTGAAAAAAACCCTACAGCTCCTAAACTTTTCCTTTTTCTTTCCCCTTTACATTACACATACAATTCCAATTCACTCAACCAGTCACCAAGTCACTGTACAGAGTTTTAGCGATTTGGCATTGACCAAGATAGAGTCCAAAACTCATGAAGCTTGCAATCTAGAGAGTGCATGATACATTAAATACAGGGTGGGCAAAAGTAGGCTTAGAGTTGTGAGGATGTGAAATGCAGAGTTTATTCTTGTATTATTATTTCTTGATTACTGTATTATTTTCTATAGGGATAACTGTAAACCTACTTTTGCCCCACCCGCTATTATGTTATTTTCAATAAGCACTTGTGCTGATGGACCTGCACAGGTAAAATCATTCGTCCGGCACAGCCAAAGCTCTCCTGAAGGTGACATTGCAGTTTAGCTCATTGCAAAGACAACAGTCCTCAGAGTGAAAAAAGAAACTTGGAGAGTTCAAATACATGAGGGAAAGAGCTCCCTATGCTTGTAGATAGCATCCTGTCACTACAGGTGGACAATGATCTGAGAAGCCGGTGCCCACACAGGGCAGCTGAAAACAGTACGACCCCTGTGGGCCTGGAGTTTGGTTTTACCTCTCTACCTGAGAGTGGTGCCCATGAGGCCTGGCAGGTAAGCTAGGCAGCAACTCTGACCTTATTAGCCAAAATATTCATACTGAATGTACTTTATATGATGACTTTTCATTGGTTCTCTCTTAAAAGTTAGGAAAGCCATAGAAAAGTACTGGTTTCTCTAAAAAAGAACCAAGGGAATTTTTATCTTTTTTTGGGGGGGTGGAGGGTGGGGGAGTGGGGGACCAAAGTGAATTACTGTGAAACAACGTGGTGAGAGGAGCAGAGTCCGTACCAGGGATCCTTAGTAAGCTGCCAAGTCTAACCAGGTATTTCACCAATCTGAGCTAAATCTTACACATTTAAAATGCTATGTTGCTGGTAAATATTGCCTTTTATTGAGTCATTCAATCATGGCGTATCATTCTGATGCCTTCCTCTTCTAATGCTGAAAACTTTTCAAATTTTAATCATGACCTTCTGCTCAGCTTGTGATGAGTTTTAGACGGTGAAAAGTAGTCAGGCAAGGGGATTAAGTAGACTATAAGCACTTGTTCATCAGAGTTGTATGTGCATCTCGTTTCCTTTCCTCTTGAGTCAACTGTGGGGGTGTCATTTAAAAAACTCATTTCATTAGCAGTAACTCTCAGTAAATCAGCCTTAAACCTAAATGTCTTCAAGGAGAGTCGCTCGCATGATTTAGAGCTAAAATAATCACTATTTCAAGCAGAGTACTTTGTTAATAAAAAGTCCAATCTTTCTTATACATCTCTTTTTCAATTCTCTGTCTTCTTTCCTGAGTAATTTTATGTTTCTCAACTAAAGACATGCCTTCATTAGGTAGATTAGCATTCATAAGTGGTAGTGATTTGATAGTGCTAATGGCCCCATATCTCACATTACATAATCATCGCATTTTTGAGGAAAATTTAGCTATCAGTGCCTTTCATTATATCATTTTGCTTCTACAAATTTTGGCTTTTATTTAAAAAGATAATAGAGTACACATTTACACATATAACATCTTAGACATGATATTTGTACTAACCCATCAGGCATCACTATGCATCAGTAGCTACATTGTATGTATTACAAATCATTTTCTTCATAGAACTTATTTAATGAAGCCTGTTATTACTATATTTAAAACACAAGTTTAGTTATTTAGAGAAATATACTTACCCACCTATTTTCAAAACTCATGAGCAGCATTATCTGATTATCCTAAATTTAGAGAGTAATTTTGTTTTACTGGCAGAAGGTATTAATCCAAAGATTCTCCTTGGTAACACAGAACATCAACTTTTTTGTTAGGAAGCTTATAAAATATATAGTTCAGACTTTACATATTAGAGTACAGAGCACTGAGGTCCAGAGTGTTGGTGATGTATCCTTGGAAACATAGCTTGTTAGGGGCAGAGTTGAGGGTAGAACTTCAATTGACCTGGTCTTTTTATTGTATTTCTTTTTGTTTTGTTTTTCAGACATTAGACAAGACTGCAACCAAACTGATTGACAATGATCATTATGATTCAGAGAACATCGCTTCTATCCGGGATGGGGTATGTTCAAGGGCTCATCTGTGCTTGTCTGTGCACCCAGTCAGGGAAAGTGTTGAGGGCATGGTGACCCATGTGAACGGTGAGTCTCCTGTGTCCACATTTGGTTGAGCTGACAATGAGTTTGCTCCTGGTTTTGCAGCTGCTGTCTCGCCGGGATGCCCTACGTGAAAGGGCTGCCACTCGGCGCAGATTGCTGGAGGACTCCCTGCTTCTGCAGCAACTGTATCAGGACTCAGATGACCTGAAGAACTGGATCAACAAGAAGAAAAAGCTGGCAGATGATGAAGATTATAAGGTAGGCAGGGTTTCCCAGCCCTGGACATATTCATTGGGATTTGTTAGTTTCATGGAATTACAGTCTTAAAGTTGAAAGGACCACAGGGTTCAGTTAGTAAGCCTCACTTTACAGATGAGAAGACAGAGTCTCAGAAGAGGGAAATGGTTCTCCTGAGGCTATACATGTAGGGAAGAGCCAAGAATCTAGTTTCTGGTTTTCATATACCCTGCTGCCCATCACCCTTTTTTTTCTGGCACAGAATTTCCAATGGGCCTTAATAGAATGGTGTAAAGGGGGGACTGCGCTTGCTGGATGACTTAGTATTGTCAATAGAGAATGATGACCTGACTTTAGAATCTGCTGCAAACCTTCACTGAGTGTTTACTATATGCCAAGCATAGTCTGGGCACCTGGAATGCGGTAGAGTCCCTGACATCAGAATACACATTATCAAAGGGAAAGACAAACCATAAGAAAAACAAATAAATATAGAAAGTTTTAGGGACTGACACATGGTAGGTAAAAGATTAAAAAAAAAAAGAATAACCCAAAAGAGAATGGAATCTATTTTAGCTAACAACAGTGTCTGTGAGAAGATAAGATTTAAATTAGGACTTGAACCATTAAAAAAAATGGTCATGATGATATCTCAGCGAAGAGTATTCCAGGCTTGGAATGCGGTAGAGTCCCTGACATCAGAATGTACATTATCACAGGGAAAGACAAACCATAAGAAAAACAAAGAAATAAATATAGAAAGTTTCAGGGACTGACACATGGTAGGTAAAAGATTGAAAAAAAAAAAGAAGAACCCAAAAGAGAATGGAATCTATTTTAGCTAGCAACAGTGTCTGTGAGAAGATAACATTTAAATTAGGACTTGAACCATTAAAAAAAAGATGGTCATGATGATATCTCAGCGAAGAGTATTCCAGGCAAACTGATTGGAAAATTTAGAATGAATTGGTTTGTCCAACAGACAAACAGGAGGCCAACACGGCAGGTACTATACCCAATGATGGAGAGGGATGGAATGAAGTTGGAGAGGAAGGCAAGGAAGTCACAGGCAATGGCCTGTCTTTGCTCTTTAATCTGATCACAACAGGAAGTTATTGGAGTTAAAGCAGGGCTGGTATGATCTGATGACTGTGTTAGACATATCATTTGGCTCCTACACACATGGAGGGGGCTCAAATAGAGTAAAGAAGTTAAATTGTGAAGGTATTGCAGTAATTCAGTGAAATATGGAAGTGAGTTGGAGATGGTGAGAAATAAGGAGATGGTGAGAAATAATGGACCTTAAAATTGGGTATTATTTCTTTAAAATACCATCATTTATAATAGTATCGCTATAAGTTATAATGTTATTTCAAAATAACTAATTTGCAATGTTATTTTAAAGAAAACCTATTCCTAAGGCTAAGCTTGCCTTTAAAATAAAATGCATTTCTTTCTAAAAATCTTGACATATTTATCCTTAGCCCTGGTCATAAAATAGTATGTGCACTTTACATAAAGTGTAGGCTCTGACCCACATTAAGAAGTATATACTTCCCCTGGTTTTTATCAAGAAAAATCTACAAAATTACTTCTAAGGCTTTCTGAACTCAAGACAGCACGATATATAGGACCATTTTCATTGAACTCTTGACACTGGCCATAAATGCATTAGTATCTCCATTTACTTCATAAAACTATCATTTACATTTATATTATGCTTTTAAAAGATATTTATTACAATCATTGGGCTTCTTCCCTGCCAGTTTTATGCCAGGTACACCAACACTGAGTTTTTATACATATTGTTCTCTTTACCCCAGCTCTAACTTTGGGAAAATGTAAAATTTAGACCTACAACAGATGCCAAATACAGTGGCTACTTAAGAAGTTGCATTAAACTTATAACCACAAATCCTCCTAACCTGCAAAGCCACACAGCTCCAAAGAGTAACACTTGATTCAGTACAGCAGTTTAGGACAGGGTATAAGTGGGAGATTGACACTTGAAGCAATAACTCTATGGGGGCCAAAGTAAGGACACCATAGGCAGGTGGGGCAGAAATACCATTTCTGTGAAATTGTGTCTCAAATATGTTCTTTGCTGGAAGACCTTTTCCTGCTCTTTGAACCATGGATTTGTCCTCCTTTTTATACCAATATGTACAGCACATTCAGTGTCATGTTGGCATAATTTATTCATAGTTTTTCTCTTCCTCAGAACTATAAGATTCTCCAAGTTTAAAAACTAGGTTCCACTCATTTTTTGTTTGCAAGACTTAATGTAGAGAACAGAAATAGTGTGTGTTCAGTATGTGTTGAAAGAGGGAATTTTAAAAATGCCACTGCAGGCCCTAACTGGTTTGGCGCAGTGGATAGAGCATTGGCCTGCAGACTGAAGGGTCCCAGGTTCGATTCCAGTCCAGGGCATGTACCTTGGTTGCAGGCACATCCCCAGTAGGGAGTGTGCAGGAGGCAACTGAGAGAAGTTTCTCTCTCATTGATGTTTCTCTCTCTATCCTCCCTTTCTCTGTAAAAAATCAATAAATATATTTAAAAAAAGATTACAGACCAGAATATATTAAAAATAAAATGCTATTGGTGAGAAAAATAATAGCAACTGGACTGAAGATATGTTTACTTCTTTGGCATAGTTTTAGGATAAAATGAGATTATGTATATCAAACATATATAAGTGTGGATAAATTCCTTGTACATACAAATTCAAATGTCTATTGTATTATGACTCCTGTTGTTTTTGTTTTTATTATTATAGGGTGTTTCATACCATATTGCAATTTTGACTTCTTTAATGTCTTCTACATTGAACTTGAGGGTAGGGATAATGTCTTATTTTATATCCTACTGTCAAGTTCACTTGACATATGGCAGGCAGTCAATAAGCTTTTGCTGATTTAGTGAACACATGAAAATAGCAATACTAAGTATGTACTTAGCCTTCTTCATCTCTTCTTCTAAAATTTGTTGTTATACTTTTAGTGACCAAAAAACACTATTCACCAACTCTTCTATGGTTAACGAGGAAGAGAGAAAACATGCCCATACTTTCAAATAATTCACAATTCACTAATTCACTAAAACAATAAGAAGCAAGGTATATTTAGCTTTCAGGAAAAATTATTTTATAAAGGGGGAGGGGAAGAAAGCAGGAACATGTCAAAATGAATTGGAGGGAGGAGAGGTTGGAAGATTTTAATTTCTATCTTCTGGCACAACAGTTAGCAACAGTAGGATTGAATTACTTTCTCACACCTACGCATCTTCACCATTTCCTTCACAGCTCTTCTGAATAGTGAGGTAAGTTACAAAGTGGTGAACATAAATGGTGAACAATGTGATAGCTCTGGGCGCTCTGAACTGCTACAGCTCTGTCATATTCCACTTGGAAATAAACCATCTTCCTAATTAATCACTATTGTATCCCAGCTTAAAAACCTTGTGTGGATTCCTGCAGACAATGCAGTAAAACAGTGGGCACTAGAGCGAAGAGGCATTTACGAAAGGGAATATATGGATGGCCAATGAACATGTAAAATTACTCTTAAGCTGACTATTACTCATGGGAGTGTAAGTTAAAACTAAAATGTCATAGTACTTCTCTGGCAAGTGTGAAACATAAGATTTCTGAATGCATTTAGATTTAGAATGTACTATTTTGAATAAATAATGGGATGCAATTTTGTTTTTATCTGTAGTTTTTCTTTTATTTTAATTCTCTTGCTAAACTGAAGGTCACTAGGCAAGATACATCATTTAAACTATTTAGAAAGGGGAAAGAGATCAACCGAAGGACTTGTATGCATGCATATAAGCACAACCAATGGACACAAGACACTGGGGGCGGGGGGTGATGAGGGCATGTGACAGGGGGTATGGGAGGCTAGGGGAAGGTCAATGGGGGAAAAAAGGACATATATGTACTACTATGTGTAATACTTTAAACAATAAAATAAAATAAATAAACAAAATAAACTACTTAGAAATAGAAACCTTCTTTGAATGGCTTAGTCTTAGACATGAATGAGCCAATTAAAATGAGTTCTAGCTATGGGTGTTGCTACTTGAGTGGAGAGGAACCAGTGAACAGGGTGTTCTGACTTCTAATATCTCAAATGGGTCAATAATTCCTACCAGGGAACTGTGTCCTGGTTACGGGGCAGCGGGTGTGGGGGTAGGGGGGCAGCAGGCTTCTCTGGTTTGCATACTGCTCATTTGAGTGATGTTTTATGACTGACTCAACTTGCTGGCTTTTTCCTAAATTGACAGCCCAATGGCAGAGTTACAGCCATGGCTCAGTTCTCAACCACATGTATCATGTAGTCAGAATCTAGGACATCAAGAGTATCCTGGCTTGGGACCAAGGATAAAGGTTAAGAAGATGGATCATTGGTGCCCTTACTTCAATTTTTTTTTCTTTATTGATTAAGGTATTACATATGTGTCCTTGTTCTAAGACTCTCCTAATAAATATGTTCAGAAGTATATAGAAGTTCTTGAAGATTCAATTTGCTGATGGTAGTGAATCAGGGAAGATGGGGGTGAAGGGTTTTATTATTTTTCTGCCTAATTTCTCTAACTAGCTGAAAATTGTATGGACTAGCTTATTAGATTAGTACATTCTTTTTCATACCTTTACAACCAGATTTTTCTTATTGTTTTACTCCTAGGACATACAAGTAATTCCATTGCACAGCAACTTTGCAAAAAATATTACAGCCCTAGGTACTGTACTTAGTCTTCTTCCCCAGAAACAGCAAGGTCTCAGGAATAAATATCTCTCTATCTTACGACATGTGGTTTACAACGTAGCAAACCATATGCTGTAAAATAGATTTCTCAACTTCTAAAGCAGACTTTCCAGCTCCCAAACAACCAATTTACAAAAAGTCATTTGCACTTCTTCAGGTTTCTAGACAGTGTGTCAGGGACATGACCACAGTCTTGCCTTAGATAATTATTGGTAGCAACAGAGCTGAAAAGGAGGGAATCATGAAGTAGCAC